AGAGAGTGTATATGAGCTCTTGTGTGTAAAATGAGGTAGAAGCTGATATAAGAGTGAATAGGAAATATACTTGTGTAGTTTGGTTTGATTTGTTGATGGTTGTGTGGAGTGAAAGGCAAGCTGTGTGTGTGTGTGTGTGCTCGCTCATGAGGGGGTGGACCTCTCTCCGTCCCATCTGTTTGGGGTTCATCTTTGTCCTTATAATTAATGAAAGCAGAGGGGGCTTCATGACACACACACACACACACACACACACACACACACACACACACACACACACACACACACACACACACACACACACACACACACACACACACACACACACACACACACACACACACACACACACACACACACACACACACAATCAACACCCTGAGCTTTTCACTAGCAGGTTTTGTTTTAGCTGAATTGCGCCTTCTCTCTCTTCCTTCTCTTTTGTTGTTTTCATCTACTTTTTTTTTGTTTTGGCTGTTTTGTGCTGATTAATTTGCCCTCACCCCCTTCCTGCCCCTCTCTCTCTCTCTCTCTCTCTCTCTCTCTCTCTCTCTCTCTCTCTCTCTCTCTCTCTCTCTCTCTCTCTCTGTTTTCTCCGTATCTCCTCCCTCTCAGCTCCGAGCAGAGATTGGATGGTGGGATAGGCTTTGCCTGCCCTCAGGCCTGAAAAGAGGATTGTTTGGAAACAGATCTGTTCCAGTAACCTGTAAAAGGAGTAGCCTTCGTCAACACACACACACACACACACACACACACACACACACACACACACACACACACACACACACACACACACACACACACACACACACACACACACACACACACACACACACACACACACACACACACACACACACACACACACACACTTGTGTTTCTATGAGTTTGTCCTTTCTATCTGATACTAAAAACTGTAGCAGTGTCATTTCTGACCTCATTTTTGGATTCCGTAAAGCTTTGGTTATCCATAGATGTTACAACATATTTGAAGGAATATGCTCAGATAAGCTAAAACAACAACAGTATGTTCAGATATTTTTAAAGCCGGAACTATGATTTTTATTAGTCACATTTTTACAAACCCCTAACCCTACACTTTAAAACTTTAAAAATAAAGTTTCTTTATTGGCATTTATGGTTCCATGAAGAAACTTTAACGTCCACGGAACCTTTCCATTGCACTAAAGATTCTTTACAGTGGAAAAAGGTTCTTCAGATTCGTCACGCTAAGAGTTATTTTAAGAACCTGGATCTTTGGGGAACCAAAAATGGTTCTTCCATTGCTTCGCTGTGAATACACACTTTTGGAAACACACTTTTATTTTAAGAATGTAGGAATTAAACTTTTTCACCATTGTGAATGATTCCTCAAATCATGCAGCTTGTTAAGAAGAGATGTCCTATTAAAATGACTGCTAAACTATCAGACATTGCACTAAAAACACCACATAAGCATCCACAACATCTTTGTATCACAGTGGATTTTCCCTGGGGCAAACGTCACTCGTTTCTTCAGAAAATGTTAAAATATGAATAATAATAAAAAAAAGTAGTATTGTTATCTGGCACGCTCAAATATAATGTGCTAACATACACTATACTGTTCAAAAGTTTTGGGGTCAGTAAGAATTTTTTTTTTAAAGAAATGAATACTTTAACCCTCTGGGTTACTCAACCCGTGTTGGTCAGAACTGACCAAAAAAAATTTACGTTTTTAATTTTTAGATTCATCGGAATGGGATGACGCGGTGACTTTTGTCGCATTAGCTATGTGAACACAAACGTAAAAAATCATGGAAGGTGTAAATAAATAAAAAGTAACACTCGGTACCTTCACGGTCAATAATGACCGATATAGGAAATTAAAGGGAAACACGACAAAATATGAAAACTCCGAGAATCTTTTGGTGGTACAAAGTACAAATCAGCCGTGATGCAAAAAACTAAAACAAATCACACAGCGATGAAGGGGTTAATTTTTTAAAACACATTTGAACTAGTATAATTGTAACAGAGCAAGATCTTGCAAATGTGTGAAATAAATCAACAATTCAACCCCAATGCAGAATGCACAGACAAAAATGACATTTTAATTGCAAAATGTTTGTATTAAGTGTTTTAAATGATCACTATCCATTCCTTATTTTGCTTTTAATTATCAATCAAATACTGAGTAACAAAAATGCTGCTACCTTTCTAACAAAATATTAATGTTTGATTGTAATCATAATGCAAAACCTGATACTTATCTAACCAAAAATATCTAAATCTTGACAAAAAAAGTAGTCTTTTAGAATGTCTAAATATATATCTAAATGCAAAACTAAAAGTACGAAATTATGTCTCAAAACAACTATGGAATCCAAAAGCCTCTCTATATAGTTATTACACCATGACTTCGCACAGGTTTTTATTTTTAATGTCTCCAGATGGCATATAAAAAATTAGATTTCACTCTATTTTAATCTGAAATATTGCATTTATTGAAATGAGTTATTATTTGAAAAAAAATCTTATATTAATTTTAAAGGAAAAAATAGCTCTTACATTTTTTACATCACATAGTATCATAAAATCCCCTTCAAAATCCCCTCAAAAAATCATATTGAACAAAAATATATTAAATAGAAAGAAAAAAAACTTTTCGCCGTGAAGGTAAAGTGTGACTAAAAAATGAAGGGGCTCAGAATTGATAAAAAGCGCTTGTAAAGATATTTGTATAATGTTACAAAAGATTGAACAGTCGTGCAAATAAAACATAACTATTAGAAACTAAATGGCTAGTAGATTCACATCAAAAATCACTTTATGATAATCAATGCTTTACTGTGAAATGAGTTTAAAATGACCAAAGGTCTATGAGTGACGTTTATATTCGGTTAAACTGGTTCTGACGTGACCTCACATGTTGTCTTGTATTTCTCGTGCACAGGTTGGGACGAGGTTTGGGATCGAGAGGTGACTATGAGTGTAGTCTAGAGATGCTGAGCTGGAATCATAGTACTAAAACTGTAGACACTGGCAAGATCAACATGGTTGAGTCTTGCTGAGCGCACTAATAGAACGCTATACTGTATGCTACACGTACACTCTAAAAAATACTGGGTTGTTTTAACCCAGCTTTGGGTCAAATATGGACAAACCCAAATGTTGGGTTAAAAATGTAATTTAAAAATGTAACCCAATGGTTAGGTTTGTCCATATTTGACCCAAAGTTTGGTTGAAACAACCCAGCATTTTTAGAGTGTATATGAATCTAGCTGGTGTATCAGTGGCAGTGCATGGCATGGGGTGGCTAGAGATGGTTTCTAGAATTAGGATGGAGATAGTGGGATTAGTTGCTGCTGATTTTTGTTGATTAACAAATCTATACCTTCTAGATTGCCATGATACTGATCTATATTTTACTTTACAGGCTCTATTCTCATACAGTCTGCTGTAGGCATCTGGTCAAGTATGGTTTACTAATCAAATATAGCTCTTTTCTATTTATTTTAAGTTGTATCTTTTGGAATATATTATGATCCTAAAACTAGTAACTCCCGTTTAACTTGCTCCAGTCTGCAATTATTTGCAAATAAGCGAGCTTCTTTTTTTTCCCCCTGTCAGGGTTGCAAATTGATTTCATTGTGCACAAATCAGACAATAGTTTTGGGTAGCAGATATTTATCCCAACCATTTCATATTACTATTGTATCCCGATATATCCCAGCAAATAGGAAGCATCCGTGCTCACAAACAATTAGAATGTCATTGTTTTCTAAATGTATTGATTGCTTGTTCTTTTTTTAATTTCGCAGGATGTTTACAAAAGAGTGATTTTTTTGGTATAAGTAAATAGTTATGGAAATATAGGTGATCATATGTTAATGAGCTTGTGGTTGTTGTGATGTCATAGCATGATGATTTGCATCTTAGTTTCTAGAAATGGAAGTAAATATCTACAACTTTTAAAGGATATGTCTTTTTTGAGATATGTCTGTAATATCACCAAATGATGAGCTCTTGTTATTGACATTTTCAATAACAAAAAGGATCATTTTAAAATCTTTCAAAAAAAAATTACTGACCCCAAACTTTTGAATTTGTACAGATACAAAAAAAAAAAAAAAATGCATTCTTTTATTTTATTATTATTATTAATAATAAATATATATATATATAATATATAATATATATATAATATTTTTTTTTATAAATGCAGCCTTCTTTCTTTTTTTTCTTTAATTTAGCAGGATATTTGCAAAAGATTATATATTTTTTGGTATAATTAACTTTAAAAAAACACAAGTTTTTAAACACATTTATTTGCCCCAATAGATATTTTAAATCATGGGCAAAAGAAAGCTTTAAGCAGAAGTTTTCTTTGAGTTTTTCTTGTTTCTCACATGACTTGCAGTGGTCAGATGATTCCACACTGGCCTGAAACATGGTGGGAATTTAATGTAATTCCTTTTGAAATATTTCAGAGGATTTGTCTGTTGCGAAAGCTTTCATTTTCTGCCAGGTTCTGCTTGCAAAGACTGCGAATATTGTTCAAGTAAAACATTTTGTTGAAGTATTGAATGTTTTACGGCTTTCATTAATAAATAAAATATGATAAATATAGCAACTTACATTTTCATGGTGTAGATTGCTTAAAGAAAACACTGACTGTCTGAGATGAAGATGTAGAAATACTTAATTTGGTGATCTAGTTGACTTCACATGCACAGTTCAGTTTGATTTGTTTAATGTTTATTTTTCATATAATGATTACATTATGTTAACATCAGTAAATCTTTGGGAAACACTGACCTGTCTGTTTGTTGAACGGCTGTGATTGGACTTTGAGAATATTAATGAACTGCTATCTTTGTCTTTCAAACGGATAACTGGCCATCTTTGCCATACATGACGTTTCTTCTCACTCATGCCTCTTATTCCCTCTCAAGATTCAAAGAAGCTTAATTCACATGCTAAACAAATCTCTCTCTCTCTCTCTCGTTCTGTCTCAGATTGACCCTAAGGTGGCCTTCCCACGTAGAGCTCAGCCGAAGGTGAGTGCGAAGTCTCAGTTCAGGTTAACATCACAGGTGTTGTGATGTCACACGTCACTTCTCATTAAGGACATGTAGGTTCTGTTCTAAAACCTATGAGTGTTTTAAACTAAAGCATCATGGGTGTTTTCTCCATGTGACAGCTCTTCCAGACCGCAGGCAGCTATACCTTCTTTTGACCATATTGCATAGAAGTGGCTTGAAGCAACGAAACCTTCAAAAGGACCGTAAATAGAGACTAAACAACGGTTTCCTCTAAAATGTTTATAAAAATTCGAAAGATACTTTCTTTTTGACCGTATCTATCGCACGTACTCTACTGTTCAAATGTTTGAGGTCGATAAGATTTTTAATGTTTTTGAAAGAAGTCTCTTCTGTTCATCAAGGCTGCATTTATTTGATAAAAAATACAAAGTAATATTTTGAAATATTATTAAATATCAAAAAACTGTTTTCTATTTTGCTATATTGTCAAATGTAATTCATTCCTGTGATTCAAAGTTGAATTTTCAGCATCATTACTCCAGTCTTCAGTGTCACATGATCAGGAATCACTCTAATATGATGATTTGCTGCTCAAGGAACATTTCTTATTATTGTCAACTTAATACTTTTTAAGAAAAAAAATGTAACGTTTTTTTTTTTTTTTTTTTTTTAGGATCAGTTCACAAGAACAACTTTTGTAACATTATACATGTCACTTTTGATCAATTGAATGCATCCTTGTTGAATAAAAGTATAATTTCTTTTGGAAAAATCCAAACTTTTGAATTGTAGTAGCTATATATCCTTCAAAGATAAGGTAAGCCCAGAATGCATTGTGATGGGCTAAATGAAACATTTTTCCAAGATGGCGTTAAAAAAAAAAAAAATATCCTGTCTACATTGGACTGTCCTATAAAAATAATGTGAAAAAAACTCCAAGAATAAAATAGATATTTGCGGTGTATTTTTATGCTTATTAGTGTATTGCGTCGTTAGCTTGAAATCAAGTCTCCCCTGCGTGTCATGAAAAGTGTTACTTGTGTATCTGTCTGACAGAGTTTCTCCCTATTTTTAGTTTTATTTAGAGTTTGACAAGGCAGAATATTGAAGGACAAAACCCTGAAATGTATCAAACAAAACACATACTCAAAACAACCTTGTACCTAATTAATTTTTTTTTTTTTTTTTTTTTTTTTATTAAACAAACTAACAGGTGAAGTAAAACAGATACACAGAAAAACCTAAAATACATCAGGCTTCATACAAAAAAACCTGTAAATTATTTATAAAACAATTTAAGAGCACGTGGAATAAAAGAAAGTTCATGTCTTTTTGATTTACTCCTGGGCATGACAAATTATAGTGGCTCCAATACCTACAAAAGTAGGTATTGGAGCCACAGACAAGAAACAATGCAGCGATGATGAACGTCGCGCCTCTCACTCAGTGATGGGAGAGTAGAAGTTGGAACACCTATTATCCGACAACAACGTTTTTAGACCCTCTCTAACTCATCTGAGAGACCTTTAGCTAGTCCACCCCATACTGGGCTAGCGTACTCAAGAACTGGCCGTATAAATGTCAAATATACTTTCATTAAAACATCACAGGGGAGACCCGCGTTTTTAGCAACACAGAGATAGTGGATTCTAGGACGCACCTTCGAAATCATGTACTTAATGTGGGCGTCCCACGACAGATCAGAAGAAATTTGAACTCCAAGTAGTTTAAAGGTGGAAACTCTGCTAATTACATGTGTCTATGTGAAATGTTCCAAATCTGAGTCCATTACATTCCATTTCCGAGGTTCCGTTTCTAGTTAGTATGTTCCCTTAGAAGGCAGCTGCGCAGACATCAAAGTAGCTCACTAGGTTTTGGAACAGTCGTACATTCCTCCTACTTGTGTAATAGACACACACATTCTTTTTTTAACAAAAAATATTAGTGAATGGTAAAATTAGCATGTCAATTCTGTAGAATGCTGTTCATTGTAAGTTAACATGTAGTTAACTAATGTCAACAAATAAAACCTTATTGTAAAGTTTTACCAAATACTTATTAAAATGGCAGCCTAGTTTTCTTGTAGAAAGTCCTGTAGTCTCATTATTTGTCTTTTCTCTGGTGTTTTCAGCTGGTAACAAGAACAAAGAAGATCTTTGTTGGAGGGCTGTCTGTCAACACCACCATTGAAGATGTGAAACAGTATTTCGATCAGTTCGGAAAGGTGAGTTCAAGGGCTAATTCTACTTTCTTATTTCTGTCATAATTTAGTTTAGTTCCTCATGAGCATTTTCCAACCCCCCCTCTCTCTGATCCTTAATAACCCGGCTGTATTTAGTACTGTAATTTAAGACTTCTGTATGACAATCATACATTTGTACATCAGGGCAGGTCAAGCTGCTTAATGCCATTTAAGTAAATGGTTATGTAAATGTAGGCGGTTATATGTTAATGAGCTTGTGCTTGTGACATCTAGATGTCATGATGTCACATGATGATTTGCATCTTAGTTTCTATAAATGGCTGTAAATATATTAGAGTATGTCTACATAGTACAACTTTATAAATGTAGACGCACGCATGCACACACACGCGTGTTTACTTAGCTATCTAAATGGGTGTACTGGTTTTTATACTGTACAAACTGTATATTCTCTCCCCTTACACTAACCCTACCCCTAAACCTACTCATCACACACAACTTTCTGGATTTTTACATTTAAAAAAAAACTTTAATTACTTTATTTTTATACCAGATTTAATGAGGAGGTCCCTAAAGGGAGGTTTTTGGAGATTTTGTCAGGTTTTGGTCACTTTTTTGGTCCCCAAAATATTGTTAAGTAGGTACACACACACACACACACACACACACACACACAAACCAAAACCAGTTTTAAAAGAACCAGAAAAACAGTTTTCTGTGATATGCTTGTAATATCACCCAATAATGTGTTCTTGATATTGGTTCTTTCTTTGACATTTCCAATAACAAAAAGGTCACGTATATTTGTCTCTGTTTTGATGCACACAGAACACATGATATCTCTTTTATGCTCCATCTGTCTCCACTTGTTCCATTTGTTACTGTCATATTCGATGTCAGTGGTAAAGAATTGGTGTCCCAGTTGGAGTCCTTGTGTTGCTGATTTTTCTTTCGTGCGAGAGCGGCCCGCTGAGTTGAATAGTGGACAACGGGGTCTAAAGAAAGAGAAGAGCATACGAGTAGAGGCAGGAGACGAGTGAGGGAGGCGGCGTCGCCTCCTGTGGGTCGAGGGCAAGAGAAGAGAGCGAGAGGAGGAGGAGAAAGAGTAAGACACGCACTACAAAGGGAAGCTTTAAAAGTGGGTGTCCTATAAAATTGACCTAAACTAGCCAGAACTATTAGAGACACTAAATAGACACAAAACAACTGGTCATGATCATGTTCATGGGTGATTCTTTAATACGGTAAAAATTCTGAACGACCCTTCAAAAGTTTAATGTTTTTGTAAGAATTCTCTTCTGCTCACCAAGGCTGCATTTGTTTGATCAAAAATGCAGTAAAAAGGGTGAAATATTATTACAATTTAAAATAATGGTTTTCTATGTGAATATATTTTAAAATGTAATTTATTCCTGTGATGAAAACTGAATTTTCAGCATCATTACTCCAGTCTACAGTGTCACATGATCCTTCAGGAATCACTCTAATTAGAGCCGCACGATTCTGGATAAATTAAGAATCAAGTTTTTTTGTTTTTGTTTCAAACCGAGATCGGGATTCTCCCACGATTCAGACAACTTAACAAAATAACATGTAATTTACTAGAGGTTCTGACAAATTTAATATTTAATTTGAATTAATTATTTGAAACTAAAAATCAGTTTGAGACTGAGTGAATGATTCAATGACTCACTCTTAAAGACTTGTTTCGTTATTGGATGAATCAGCGTGTTTGAATGAATGACAAACATTTTTTTTAACAGTCTCTTGTCGCCACCTACTGGTGTAAAGATGTAATCGATACAATCGTTTGAAACGAGTAAATGATGACATAATTTTGGTGAACTCCCTTTAACAGACACAGGTGAAATGAACGTTTTTGAATCAAGATCAGAATTTTTCAATGATTTAAAGTCCACCTGTGGTGAAAATCAAGCTTTTAATGTTGTTTATATGTCTGCTGTGTTTTTAATATGCTTTAAGACAAACCACAAATTCATAAGTCGACACCATTGCTGAGTATAGTCCCAAAAGCGCTGTTGTTTCTGACCTCACAAACTAGCTTGTAACCAATCAGGTCAACGTGTGATCGCCAACGAGTGGATCTCTGAGCTGGCGTGAGTGAGTGGAGGCGGGGATAATTTGCATATTCATAGAACCACGTATACTAAATGAGGCAAGGGTGGAGTCACATTCAAGCTATTTCAAGCTATTTTTTTCCAAGGAAAAACTTTGAAATATGTCATTTTGGTGATCAAAGGTGAGTTTTAAAGGATAAAATTATCGACTACAGGGGGACTTTAACGTGCAGCTCTAATTCTGATATGCTGATTTGATGCTCAAGAAACATTTCTTATGTGTGTATTTATGAGTAAATCAGGATATTCGGTGAGGCAGGACTTGCTTTAAGAACTGATTGGTTTGTGAAACATAGGTGTCATGTGATTGGAAGGGAAGGCCAATAACTTTTATATGTTGTTTAAATAAATAGGGTCAATTTTATGATTTCACCTTTAAGAAAAAATATTTTCTTCATGTTGTAATGATCATTTTGACTTAAAAAAAGCAAAACAAATCCACTCGTGTTTACCAAGACCATAATTCGATCATGACGTGTGGTAATGTTTATATGACATTTCAAGTTGTCCCTCACTACAGAATCACACTTATATAAAGTGACACTTGCTGTAGTAAATGATGTGAAGGTAGGAACGGGAGAATGGAGCGAGGGTGTGAAGGTGCTGTTGGTAAAGGGGGAGGGTCTCAGAATCTTAACTGATGCAACAGCTGCTGCCCCCCCCCCCCCCCGCCCCCCCTCTCAAGCTTGTTTCCACGGTGACCTGCTGGGCCTATTGTCTCCGCACACATCTCACTGTGACACCGGGTGCATGTGGGCTCTTTTTTTCCCCAAATATGTAAATGCACGTGTGGATTCAGTGGTGTACACTCTCACAAATGCGTATTACTGGGTGTCAGCACCTCGTGCACCTGTTGGGCTGCTGGGAGTTTAAAGACAACATAAAATCAGTATAATCTCTATTTAAACTACCGTTCAAAGGTTTGGAATAATTACCATGTTTTACTGTTTTTGAAAGTAATCTCTTATGCTCATCAAGGCTTCATGATCACACGATCCTTCAGAAATCATTCTAATATGCTGATTTACAACCAAAACAACAGGATACTACCAGAATCCGAGCTAACACAAATATCAACGTTATTTATGAATGTTTTTTTAATGATTTTTGAAAATGTTCTTGGTTTTGCGAACGTCAAGGAAACATTCCATTTGATCATTCCACAAACATTATGGGAACTTTACTTTTGAATGTTCTCTGAACATTCTGAAACCAGTAGTAACATTTAAAAAAACATTCCATGAACAATGTATAAATATATTTTTATGTTAGCATTATTAAAGACCAGATAACTTTGAAGTTTCTTTCAAAAACATAACAAAATCGTAATAATTTCAAACTTTTGACTGGTAGAGTAAAATCCAGCCCTACATAATGTCCCACTGAATGTTTCGTTTCTCTCATAAATGCATCAATGCACAGAAGTTAAACGTGTTTCAAATTCCATTTTGGGCATTCAAGCACGGGGAAAGTATGTGAAAGCAATCTTGGTTCATCTTAGGCAAGGTTAAAGTTTACAAAGAAGGGATTTTTCTACATTTAATCTGTGAAAATATTGTGCTTCTTCTCCACACTCCTCTCACTCAGCGGTTGGATCAGTATCAAAAAAACACGGTGCACATGCACTAGCGTATGTATCTGTTCACAGTACTTGGTGGGAGAAGCCCTTGTTGCCGTGAACACAATCTGGCCGCTCGAGCCCGTCCGGGAAAACTCACTGCCCTCCATTGTCCCGATCTGTTAGGCACAATCCAAAATGGTTGGAATATGATCAGCCTCACAAAAGCGAAGTACAGTGAGAGTCCAAGCGCTCCGACCCACAACAATGGATATAATGAAACATTGAGAGGGAGAGGGCCAGTGGAACGGACAGACTGGAAAAGTTAGTCTCCAGTCAGCCATGAGAGGTGTCGATTAGAGAGCTTCACTGGACCTTTTGTCCGCTGGCCTGTTTAAAGGGAAAACGAGTGACGAGGAAGGCATAAAAATCAAGTTTTATCTGGAGATCTTATACCTTCTGCTTGTTTAATAAAACAGAAATGTGACTCTTGGCGGGTTTTGGAGAGGACAGGGGGTGTGTGTTTTGTTTGTGAGATGACTTTATAGACTAAATAACGCAGTTTATTCTGTGTGTAAACAAACATGTCTCCAGAAATCCCTAACATTTCTTTTGTAATGTAATTCGTCTCATAGCCGTTTCTCGATTTGACGTGTAAAATGATATTTTTGGTTGTGTGTTGGAGCATTAGCTGTCATCTTTGAAGGACTGCCTTCTTAAACTTTTGCATTTCACTTTTCTCTTCCTTATTTTTTTATTAAAATGTATTTATTTTTAGACAGTTCCTAAACCTTTTATTTTGTTTAGGGATGCTATATTTTTTTACCATGTCTTTTAGTCCTGTCATATCGATTAATCGCATCTAGCATCAAAGTTTGTGTTTATATAATATATGTATTATATATTATACACACATTAGACTGATTTTGTAATCATATAATGTCAGGGTTTATTTTTTTTACGATTAAGATTAACTAATTATAATGAAGTAAACTTTTTTTACATGCCAGTTTACAAAAGTACAAAAAATATTTACTTTTTCAGAAAGCAAACTGTCTGTGTAAAACTCACTGTACTGAAGTTTGGGAGGGAAGGAGGAGGAGGGAACTGGCACAAGTTCAACGTTAAACTTTAATCAGAACAGACATAAGTTGCTAGGGTGTTTTGGGTTCTTTCTTACTGGACAAAATCTAAAGAAACTCAATGAAGGTATTCTTGTCTCTAGGCCCTGTTTACACCTGGTATTAAGATGTGTTTTGGTCGATCAGATAGAAGAGGGAGACACATTCCCGTTTACACCTGGTGTTTTAATCCGTCTCTTTTGT